GGGCTTGTGGATTTTAAGTCAACAGTAACATTAGAAATGCTCAAATATCTAACCCTGCTCTTCTCTTTAATTCTAGAATGCCATCAGCCAGAGGAAATATACTTTTTTTCCTGCTCCACCTACCCATCCCATCCTTCTCCCTTCGAAAGGAAGATCCTTCTTTATGGAAACTGAACAATCCCAGAGAAAAGACATTCACATACTATTTGGCACTTCCTGCACAAAATAGCAGTTCTGCAGAGAAGCCCACACTTTTACTTGAAAAGGCCCCCCTCAAACACAGAACTACCAATTAGCCTTTTTCACTTTTAAATATGAATAGAGCTAAAGATCATCAAGATTTGCAAAGTCTCAGACAGGAGAGATCAAAACAAACAAAAATTGATATGATAAAAACAAAGATAATTAAGAAAATAAAACTCTCTCAGAACAAAGCAAAAACTAATGAACAAACTTAGAGAATCAAAACAGGAAATCAACATTTGACTAACAGTAATAATTCCAGAGAAAAGGGAAAATAGAGAAAATATAAAGGGAGAAAAATATTGACAAATATAAGAAAATATCCCAGAAATGTTCAAGACAAAAAAGTCACATGGTATCTGAACTCTCCATTCTAACACTGCAAGCTTAAAGTCAATGAAGCAACACTAAAAAAGTCCAAGGAAGAAAGATTTTCAGTTAAGAATTCTATACACATACTGTCAATCAAGTGTGAAAAGCAGCACTTTTATATATACAAACTTATCCACACACACATTTTCTCAGAAGATATGTTCTAAATACAACACACACATACACACAGAATACACCAATAAAAAGGAAGACATCAAGTAACTATTTGGGAAGTCCCTGAGTAGCAACTGTGCAGAGACCCTAAAGAATAAATAGGAACAGGAAGACTAACAGCTTCACAAGCAGACAAGAAAAAATACTGATTAACTGAGCATTGTGAAAACACCAGTGACAGATATATGGTGAATCTGAGGAAGCTGTTGCAACGTTTTTAAGATGAGTTTAACAAAAATCATGGAAATATAAATAAGGCAACTAATACCAAAATTCTTTCTATGTGAAAGAATGTTGTAATCTGAGTATACTCCTGGCCCTTGAGTGACTATTTACATAGTCATAATGTAAATATGGTCTATTGACTGAACCAAAAATTGTGTTATTAACTGAAGAGATGAGGTATGTGAGAACTAAATCCTCACCTTAATGGGAAGTCAATAGGTAATATAAAAATGATAAATTAAAGAATAACAATATTAACACATTAAAATGAGTGGATAAATATCAAAAGAAACATCTAAATGTATTGAGTAAAAAGTCCAGGAATGGAAGAGGCAGGGGAGGGAACCACTGATTTTAATTATGTGTCTTTTCACAGTTTGAGTTTTCAAATTACAAACTTTTAATAAGAGCAAAGTTTTGGTTTAAGTCCAAACAGTTTGCTGAATCTTAAATCCTCAGAAATGGAAAAATAAATCTAATGAAATTAAATTTTCATCTTAGTATTTCCAGTATTTTAAAGCACAGAATATTTTCTCAGATGAGAAAAATAGCTCGGATGGACTGATTGCCTACTAATCCTCACTACCTTAATGGTCCATAGACATCTTTTAAAAAGAGACAGACACACACACACAGACCTACCTATACTCCTCCCACATTCAGGTCAAAATAGTGCCAGCTCCTAGTCATCCAAACCCTCAATCTTGAGTCTTCATCCTTCCTCCTTGACCCATAAATTTTGTAGAGTCTAGTCCCCAAATATTTCCAAAATCTGAAACAACCCTTCTTCCAATGCTGTATGTCAAGCATGTTAAACTCGCAGCCCACAGGCTGCATGTGGCCACAATGAATATTTTCGCAGCCCAGTCAATATAATGGTATGTAAAAAATGTTTTAATAAAAATTAATTTTTACAATATCCTGTTATACATAACTAGAGGGCCAGTGAACGAAATTTGTGCACAGGGAGTGGGGCGGGGAGATCCCTCAGCCCAGCCTGCATCCTCTCTAATCCAGGACCCCTCGGGGGATGTCTGACTGCCTCTCGCAATCCGGGACCGCTGGCTCCTAACCACTCGCCTGCCTGCTTGATCACCCCTAACCACCTCTGCTTGCCTGATCACCCCTAACCATCTCTGCCTGCCTGCCTGATTGCCCCTAACTGCTCCCCTGCTGGCCTGATCGCACCTAACCGCCTCTGCCTCGCCCCGCCCCAGGGCTGCAGTAGCAGGTGCAGCCACTGGCACCCAGAACCGCAGGGCAGGTGGCTTGCCCCTCTCCTGGGCTGTAGCCTAGCTGGTCCCCATTCCCCTCTTGTGAGCTCATTTGTGCCTGGCTGGTCCCCATTCCTCTCTCCCAGTGTTGAGTGTCTGAGCCGTTAAGGCGTTATGGTATGAGGGCGTGATGACTATTTGCATATTAGCTCTTTATTATATAGGAGGATTATTAATAACAAACTACAACATTCACTAATGACTGATTACTATAATCGTGTTGCATTCATTTCCCTTATGTGCCTTATGCACAGGCGCACTATTTCTCTCCACTAATACTAGCAGTGAATATTTTAGCAGCCAATTGCCACGTCATTAGTTTGTACTGACTTGTTTGGTGTGCACACAGGAAATATTTCACTTTCAGAGAACAAGAAAAATAGGTTTATTTGTGTTATGCTTATTAATTTGTGCAGTTATTCAGTGTCTGGTAAGTTAATGTTCAAGAAAATATATTAATTTTTATTAAAATGTTCTATTATTTTATGTTAATGATTACTCATTTATTTCAGCCCTTTGTATTCAGCATATCTCTATCAAAATAAACCTACGTTTCTATGAAATTGAAGCTTTTGTCTTTTTGCAGCCCACAGAAACTTAAACCTTGTTTATTTGGCCCATGTTAGCCTTTGAATTTGACATGTTTGCTGTATGTGTTCAAGCCTTCATCTCTTGTCTAGACGATAATAATTACAACCCACTAACTAGTCTTTAGGTCTCCAATCTCTCTCCTTTCTCATCTAAACTAATACACTAAGACAAATTTCACTAGGTTGACTCCCTTGACATCCTTCAGTGGCTCCTATAGAAGAAAATCCTACCTCTAACATGGAACGTATGCCCGTCACTCCCTAGACCTTTTTTATTGTTGTTAATACACACCAGAGGATTTCAATTCCCTTTCAGAGAGGGAGGGATGGAGGGAGAGAGGGACAGAGAGAAACATCGATGTGAGAAAGACACACTGACTGTTGCCTCCCGCACACACACCCTGACTAGGAGACAGGGAGCAAACCCAAAACCCAGGCACGTGCCCTGGACCAGGAACAAACCCGCGACCCTTTGGTGCATGGGCCCACGCTTGAACCACTGAGCCACACTGGTCAGGCCTCTCTCTAGACCACGGGCCCTCAAACTTTTTAAACAGGGGGCCAGTTCACTGTCCCTCAGACCGTTAGAGGGCCGGACTATAGTTTTTAAAAAAACTATGAACAAATTCCTATGCACACTGCACATATCTTATTTTGAAGTAAAAAAACAAAACGGGAACAAATACAACATTTGTATTTGCATGTGGCCCACGGGCCATAGTTTGAGGACCCCTGCTAGACCTTTCTATCCACGTTTAATTGTGCCACTCCCTATGTGCCTCACACCCTATGTTCCAACAATAATTTCAACTCTGGGTCTTAAGCACAGCCTGCTTCCTCTGCAAGAAAGTCTCTTCAAGTCATCCTCAATTCTCCTGACAAACTTCTATTCATTTTTATAAACGTTCTGTTTCCTCTATGCTACCATATGCATACATAACTTTACCATTTAATTATAATTACCTGTCCATCATCTCCTACACTAAATTGTGTCTCCATTCATCACCAGAGGCTATTCTGTTACCTTGGCATACAGAATAAATATTTGTTGAGTAAAATGCCATTCAGATGTCTAGACAGCACACCTGCAACTACAAATTACATATCTCTGTAAGTCTATCTACAGAGGTTAATAGCCAAATGTCCACAAAAGTGTAAGAAAAATTAAAGGCCAGCTTGCCCTGTCAAGACATATTACAGAAGGCTATCAACAGTATTTTTTTATATAACACTTAACAGTTTAAAATGTGATTACAATGGTCTACAACTTATAGTGTGACAGTGTAAAGGGGAAGTAAACAGCATTCATTCTCTTTAGGGATTTGAGACTGGCACTTACATAAACGTTACAATGTCTTTCTCTTACAGTTTCATCAGTGCCACTTGGTGTAATACATATCAAAAAAATGGCAAGACAAGATGCCCAGTAAGATTCCAGAATGCAGCCAGTCGATCAATAGCATCGGGATGCTTGCTGCAGCACAACTCCCACTAACCCGGAAGGCAAGATGCCGAATAACCACCACAGATGCTGCAAACAGTGTGTATTTTAAGACCTGAATATATTAACTGATCCACTGTAAAACAATCTACCAATATGAAAACTGGCAGGGCCTGATCAAGTAAAGGGCAAATTTATTTATGATGTAATAAAAATCAGTTCATTTCATTCAATTCAACAGTCAATATTGAACACATTTTTGAACCACAAATTTAAAGAAATAATTTCACCGAGTTCAATTTAAAATACTGGAGAATAGAAATTTTTGGTGCACTGAGTTAATAATTCTCAAGAGATCACGGCACAGTATGATCGATCAATCAACGCAAGATCCTTCCTTCCTTCCCGCCCTTGCTCCCTCCATCCATCCATTCTTTGCCTTTTATCCTCATACCCTAGTCCCATTGCCCCCACCCCCCAACCCATTCAGACGGAACCATTCTATTCTGTTTCATGTTTGGACAATGAGCACATGTGACATTTGCTACATTTGAGCAGAAGCTGTAAAACCCATTGTGTTTCTGGCCACTCTTCTCTTTGCCTCTGCCAAGAATGACAGGACCCAGAAAAGAGCTGCTCTTCAGAATGAGATGACTTGTGAGGAGCCACAGTCAACTGTCAGCCACTAACATAACATGAGCAAGAAATAAACCTTTGTTGTTCTGTACGCTCCTGAGATTTGGTGATTATTATCATAGAAAACTGACTAACATAGAATGGAAAGTTAAACTAAATAATTACACCTGAGTGAGATTTGGAAGGTCACAGCGAGGAAAGGATATACTGCTGCTGCTGCTGGTTCTGGAAAGTAAGGTTAGAGGTGTGAGAGTTTGTAGGAGCCAAACCCCAAGTTCCAGGTCTCGTCTTTAACTTCAGGGGTGAGTTAGGACCATCAGTATAGGAAGGGACAAGTAAACCCCCCCAGATGTGCCCCCTCCTACCAAATAATAAACCTAAAGTATATCCCTGAGGAAACTGCAGAGGAACCATCTTCCCAAGACTTGAAAGATACAGGGGTGGTGACTGTATGGCATTCTGATTTCACTAGCCTATTTGGCCAGTGCAGAGGAGACAGATCTTGAAGGATGTATAGTGAATCAAATCAGGTGACTACAATTGTAGCTGCCGTTCCAGGTATGATCTCTTTACAGAAACAAAACACAGTAACTGGCATCTAGTCAGCATCGACCAAGCTAACACATGATTTTTTAAAAATCTATTCCAAAACAGACCACCAGAAGCTGTTTTCACCTAACAGCCCAAAAGTACACTTTCACCATCATAGCTCACAGCTACACCAACACCCAGCGATCTTTCATGACCTAGTCCACAGTGACTCTGGCCACCTCAACACCTCACAGGTCCACTACTCTGTTATCTCCTCTACCCCCATATCCCGCCCACACTTGATATTATGTAGCTTTCTCATTGTTGCCAACCTAATAGGTAAAAAAAAGACATGGCGTTACTGTTCTTGTTTGCATTATTTGATTAATAATTTCAAACATCTCTTTCTATGCTTGTTAGGATATTCTATTCTGGAATCTACTTATTAACAGCCTTTGCCCATTTTTCTACAGGTGTTACTGCCCTCCTTTTATTGACCCCCTTGTTAACTTTAGGCACTGCTAATATGTTCTCTCACTCTTTCACCTCTTTTGCTGAATGAAAATCCTTAATTTTTATATAATCCAAGTCATTACTTTTTCACTTATTATAAGTCTGTAAAGGTTTAAGAAGTCCTACTCTGTCATTGGGTAAAGACCTTCAGCATTGTCTTCTATTAATTTTACAGTTGTTCCTTTCGCATTTCGATCTTTAATTATCCAGAGTTCATCCTTTTGTGGTGGTAGGTTTGTTCTGCATGTAGTGAACCACTCTCCCTAACAACATCACTCCTTTCTCCAGTGACTTACGATGCCACCTTTAAGTTCTGAACATATATATACAGGAATTCTCCACTGTTCCCCCAGTCCATTTTTTTGTTGTTATTGTTTTGTTCTTACACTAGATTTTATTGCTACAGCCTTGAAAGAGTATTTTAAATTCTGCTAGGCAAGTCCAATTAAAGCACACCTTTAAGACTGATTTAGCTATTCACAAGCTTTATCCTGCCTGCCATTTCAATTTTAGATTTGGAGGACTGAGTTTGTCAGATAAACCAACTGGAATTTTGACAGCACTTTAAATTTATATATTAAAAATGGAGAAAACTGACATTCTTATAAGTAATCTTATCCCAAGAATATGAAAAGTTTTTCTATTTATTTAGGTCCTCTTCTAGTTCCTTATTAAAGTTTCTCCTTAAAAGTTTTATGTATTCTTGGGTTAATTCCTAGAGACTTTATAGTTTTGTTCCTATTATTTTATACAATATTTACCTTTGATTGCTAGTGTAGTAAATGCTATTAACTTTTGTAGGCTAATCTTTAATCCACCAACCCTGCTAAACTCCTAATAGTTTCTCTCTTGATTTTAATTCTTCTAGGTAAGTGATATTATCTGCAAATAATGAGTTTCATTATTTCCCTTCCTGTCCTTATACCTATTTTTCCCTTTATAATAGTGTTAACTAGGACCTTTCTTATCATGTTAAACAGTAATAGTGATGGAGGTATCCTTGAAGTGAATGTATCTAAAATTTCTCTATTAAGTATTATTTGTTGTAGCTTTTTGGTAATGACATTTACACAGTTATCTTGTATTTTGAGCTGGATCTTATTAAATAATTTTATGGTATCAAGATAATCATGATTTTTCTCTTTTGGCCTATTAATGAGATAAATTACATTAATAGATAAATGTTAAACCATGCTTACATTTCTAAAACAAACTCTATAGATTATTTTTTTTAACACACTGTTGGACCTCAACAGTGTTGAAAGCTAGTATATTGTGTAGGATTTTCATATCTTTGCTAATAAGTGCAACAGATCTCTAATTTTCTCATACTATCCTTATCTAATTTTAGAACCAAGATTTCACTAACCTCATAAAATGAACTTGGCATCTCCCTTTTTTTTTCTATTTCCCAGAACAACTTGTAAAAATGAATTAAGTATTAGTATCTAAAAGTTCAATGCAACTCACTTATAACATTACCTGGGTCCAGAGTTTTTGAAAGGGGAGGTCTTTAGCTACCATTTCAGTTTGTTAAATATTTATTAAGCAGTTCAAGCTATCTTTTTCTTCTGTTACCAACTTTCAGAGTTTATAGTTTTCTAAGTATTTATACATTTCATCTAGGCTTTCAAATTTATTAACCTATAGAAATTCATAAAATTATGTTTTAAATCTGTTTGTAGTTATTTCCACTTTCACTTACTTTATTTGCAATCTATTTTCCTTGATCAATCTTGTTAAACACAGGTCTGTCTAAGCTTATTAATCTTCAAAGAACAATCTTTTGGTTTGGCAAGTCATTTGTTCCTTAATTTCACTAATTTCTGCTTTTTTTATGTTGTTTTCTGAACTCTTCATAGAACTCTGTGTTCGCACTAAAGCAAGCTTCCTCCAGCATTTAGGTAAGTCCCCCTGCCACTCTGTCCAAGGTCTACTTTCACCACACAGATTTCAACACACAAACTGTACATAAAAGTATTATTCTCGTGCATGCACAACAGGGAAACATCAAATACAGATCTTACCAACCATACCTACACATGAATGCCTTTCATTAAAGCAGTATCTTGAAGAGGTAAGGTTATGAGCTGTTCCCACACACACACAGAAGTGTAAGGCAGTGATCATCAATCTGAATCAAGGCAATCCTTGTCTGCAATGCTACCTGGACAATTCCTGGTGCAGTTTGATAAAATTAGTAACTAGAAACGCAATCTCCAGTTGCTTTACCAGATGCCATTCAAAAACTGCAGTTATTAATAGAAGAGAAAAACCTGCCTGTGATGGTCAATTTTCTTTGGATCTGGACACACGCTGGGCGGCTTCCTCTTACCAGTGTGGACTCGGACCATAATGCTATCGATTACCAGCGGCGGGAAGGATGCCACCGCGCCCGCTGCCCGGGCTCACTCCTGGAGCACCTCCCGCATCTCCTCCTCGGATGCACAAGGTGCAGACACCGGAGGGGAGAGGACGGGCGCGGATACGGTCCGCTTCCTAACCCCCAACCTGTTTAACGCAGACTGGCTACCAGCACAAGAACACAAGGTGCCAGATTTTCCTCTCTGGCTGCAAAAATAATAATAATAATAATAAGACGGAAGGCCTCCCCCTACGGAAACTCAAGCTGCCTGATCTTCCTCTCCCGTTTGAGGGTGAAACTTCGAGGGAGTACGGAGGAGAGAAGCGCTTCCTCGCGCTGAGTGACAGCCGGCGGCAGGAGGCTCGCGTCCGTGGAAGTCGGGCTGCGCGCACCGGGCTCCGCTCTCGGCCAGGTA